TAGATGTGAGGCAGAGAGAGAGAAAGAAATAAAAAAAAGGAAAGGGGGGGAAGAAAGAGAGTGAGAGATTAAAATAGAAAACGTATCACCACTCTGTGAACCAGGTGGCTTCTCGTGGGCCTACTTCTAGTCTTCTTGGTGGTGAGGGTCCTGCAAAGCACAGTGTCCAATGGATTAATATACGTTCAGGAAATGCCCAGGCACCTCCCCTGGTGGGGGGAAGCTTTGCACTTTCTTGCGACAGGCTCTGGATTTGTTGCCTCACTTGGATCACCTGCAGTCCTCTGGTGGTAGAAGGCCCCAGGAATGAGTCTGGGGGGCGCTTTGAGGGTCTTTGATGGTTTATGACCCTTCTCAGCTGCCTCTCACGTGAATGTCCTGTGTGTACGTGGTCTTTCTGGTGGTGGGGGGGTGGTTTACTCTGTTTAGTGTGGAGAGATTTTGCCATTACACACCCAAAACCCTTCTCCTCCACCACCTCATAAGCCTTGTTTACTTCTCTTCAGGCCTGAGATAATTAGACAATAGTCTTTTCTCAAGTTCCCTACAGTCCAAATTCCAGTCAGGAGGCATATTCAGAGGGTGGGGATGGGGGAGGGTAGGCTTCTTGCAGTTTGACAAAAAGGCTTTTTATAATTTTGACAATGTTTAAAACATGAACATTTCAGTCCCTCACAGCTTTGTATTGTCCAAGGTAGAAGTGGATAAATATCACCTGCCTCAAGTATATCATAACTGAGTTGACACAAATACCTTAGGTCATTCAGTAAGACAAGTGTACAGATACTGTCTTCTAATCATACAAGCCACATGTTCTGCTGTTTTGCTTTAGACAACCAAGCAAATTACGTGAGAAAATAAAAAAAATTAAAATTGAACAATCAGAGCATGTTTAATTTTCCAAGTAATTTCTGAAATTGCTTTCAACAAGATAAATTTTAAGAAGGGCAAGAAGTTACTGGCAAATCACTACTTTCTAACAGCAGAAAACTCAGTATTTAAAATGTTATAGGGCAATGAAGTAACACATTATTATGCTTTAACATTTTGCATTCAGGTGAAGATGGGAGACTGGCATATGAACAGCTGGACAAATTTCCCAGGGAATTTGTTAAAGTTGGAAACCGCCGTGGAACTGAAGCTGCCACAGCTTTTTAGATGGAAAAGAACTTGCTTATATTCAACAGGCATTAAAGTAGGATGGAGCTGCACTTCAGTGTGGGGAGCAGGAGGAAAACTTTGAAGTATTCTAAAAGTGTTCCCAAACGTAGCAATTTACAGACTTCTTAAGGAAAAGCAAAATCTAAAATCCAGCTTAAGGGTTCCTATTGGCTCCTCATCGCAGCTCATGATGGAACAGTTGGATGCTGAGGAAAAATACCTTCTTGACTGATTCATAACAAATAATGTAATTGCAGTTATTCAGCCTCAACAAACTTCTGCAAGGTTTTTAGAATTTGGCATCTTCATATATTTTCCTATTATATTTACTTCCTTGAAGTTGTTGTGAAAGCCTGAGACATGTGATACCATATTAACAAGGACAATCAAGAGGCCACATGAGCAGGACTGCAAAGCAGCTTCCCCTTCAAGAGTGTCCCCAGCAACACTCCAGTGGCAGGAAATGCTGCTCAGCTTTCTCAGTTACATCTCAGTACTGAAATAGAGAGCAAGTTTCTTCAAGTTTTGCCTCCACAAACAGCATGATGTAAACCCTGGGAGGTGTCACTTTGGTGACTCATTTTAAATGCCTCCACTGGTCTTTTATTCCCTTTTTCTTGCCCTCCAGCAACAAACCATCATTAATCCAGAGATTTGTGAGGGGGAACCAAACAATCACGTAGGTTTCTAAAAATTAAATGAAAAGGTAAAGTGCATTTATTTATTCTGAGAAGGAGTGAATACAGCTAATTGCACGAGTTCCCCAAGCCGTTTTGTCCTGTAAGTTGCAGGCAGGATTGGATTTCATACACTCTAATTAGTGGATCATAGTTTCTATAGAGTGATTTCAATATAAAGAACTAGAACAAACTGAAGTGGACCTGGGAGGCAGTAATAAACAGAGGGAGAAGTGAATGCATCTCTCCTCCCTGCACTGCAAGGATGAAAGGCAGTGAGTGTTTCAAACTGTTGATTACAAGCCTTAAGTTAACAGAGGAGGTGAATAGAATTTAACAGAAGAGTGTTCCTGTACTGTGTTCATTATGCATGAAATGCTATTTAGATGTCAATTGAAGTATCCAAATTTGCATAGACGACATAGAAAATATTGCAAACAATTCACATGAAAAGGAAACCTTGTGAGCCAAACACATTGGCAGGCAGGGGTCATTTTTGTTTTGGTTTGTTTACTGTGAATGTTACAAAAATGTACATATCTGTATATTTATAAATATATATATTCTTCCTTTAATTAAAGAAGTACATTTTGTACAGTGCAAAATGCTTACTTGTTTACTGAGCAATATAAACTCTTTTTGCAGAAGGTGAAATAGCCATGTTATGGTTTTTATATCACACTTGTCCCATCAGTTGAATCCCTTCAACATGTCTTTTTGTATCAACTTCTGCTTTTTTTTTTTTAAATTTTTTCTTTTAGTTTTGTGGCATTTGTACTCACCATATTTCCTATCACATTTAAGTTATAATAAAGATTATTTTTTAATTACTAAGCACATCAGTCCATATGTATAGTCACTCTTTCCATAAGCAGCCTCTCCACTGTCACACTCATAGTTTAAGTTCAGAGCATTCAAGATACTTATCAAAAAAGGTTCCACAGGGTCTAGCAGAAAATATGCTGAAGAGGCTCCAGGATTGTTACCAAACTTCTGCTGATTACTCTTCCCTTTTGTGAAGACAGACTCTCAGACAGAAGACGTTCCTTGTCCTCTGACAAACATCGAGGTTTACGGCACACACCTCAGGGAACGCAGAACTGCAACTGCGTATGGAGCACAGAGCCAAAGCTGCAGAGAGCATGGGGCAGCTCACATATAGAGGTACCATGGCAAAAGGAGTTTACATCTCATTTCATTGTAGTTTAAAGCCACTCTTGGGGAAGTTCAGTAGCCTAAAGCTGATATCCTACACCGTCATGACTATTAAAAACCATGGATACAGCTCATAAGAACCAGATAGGAAGGAGAAAATCCTGCTCTCAATAAAGTCACTAAGGGGATCCACAGGAATTTTAGTAGGACAAGGTTGAACGTGGGATACAGATGTATAGAGGCTAAATTTCACTTTGGGCATTAATACTGTTTTAGGAAGCTAAATAAAACTATCATCTTCTAACATGATTCATTACAACCTTGAAAAAGTTAACAGACCTTAAAACTTCCAAAACCTGACGGCAAATAAAAAGGAACAAACCATGTATTTGTCTAATAACATGTATGTTTTTATGCTCAGAGCTGACAACGCTGCCTTTTCCTAGCACATTAATGCAAGAGCTCTCCTTTGTGGAGCAGGAAAAATCAGATGCATAGAGGTGATTGTCACAAGATGGATGCTTACCTACTAGCAAAGAAGGAACCAGAAGGCAGTAATTACCAAACCTCTTTCTTAGGGCTGCAGCAAGTTGACTCAAACAAACTTAAAGGTCTGGGCCACCCCAGAAAATATGTTAGGAAAACATCCCTGTACCAAAGTAGTTTAGCAGCAGAGCTGATAGAAAAGATGGGGAGCTCGCCAGAAGTGCATTTGGGAAAGGGCCTTACCTGGTGGTGGCTTATCCTCACTTCATGCTTTTCATGAGCTATGGTGGTTTTCACTACCCCTGTCATGTTCTCACTGTCTCTCTGCGTTTTGCCCAGTATATAGAAACCCATAGTACCTCCATACTGCTCTAGCTACAGCAGCAGCATAAGTTATGCTGCAGTTTCACACTGATTTTGGCGAGACTCCTCCTGTGCCTGCTATACCTTCAGAAAAGGTATCCTCTATAGCTTTACCCTATCCTGCAGCCCATTATGTACAGATTAATGCTGACTTTAAGCATAGAACTGCCAGACTGTGTATGGCTCCCTGTTTTGCTGATTTGCAATGGAATTATCCTGAGGATAGGATCCGCACCACCCCACTTTAAATGGCTGTGGTGCCCCTGGGGGTATGATAGGGGTACCCTCACACCCAGGGGGTTGACCTTGAACATGGCCCAATCACATTTCATTACAGGCACTTGCTGGCAGATCAACAAACAGCAGCAAACCAAAGTTCCTCAGAATACCATTGTCATTTGCTGAACTACTTTGTGATAAGAATGGAAGGAGAAATAACACACAATAAACATCTTCTGCTGAAGAAAATGCTGATGGTAACAATACAATAGTCTTAATAACAGTGGCAGCACAGGAAACACATGGCCTTGGCAGATTTGCACATCTTCTGCTCAAATCCAGTTCTGAGACCAACCTGAGATGGCCTTTGAGGAAAAGTAAATGAATATGCATCATGCTTCCTTGGGAAAAAAAAAAAAAGATGACCAACTTCATTACTTATGCAGAGGCTGCAACATAAGCTGCAACACACAGCAATGCTGCAGGCACTCACATAAGCAATCCAGTGCCAAACACCAAGTTTCAGCTGCAGTTATGGTCTAATTCACTTCTCCACATGATGTCTTCACTACAACAGGTGTTTACACTAAAACTGTTATTTTTGCAAAATCAATTATGAATTCTTCCTCACATAAACGATCCACCCACCCCATGGTTTGCTTGCCCCTGCTAATCTCTGCACAGCTGTTCCTTCTTGAAACATCTGACACCTGCAAACAGCCCATCTCCCCACACTTTACTCTTCCATGTCTGAAATTGTCCTGTTTGGACTTGCACATTTTATAGGAGAAGTGGTAGGACATAGTAGATGCAGCCTTAGGATACTTCAATGAAAGAGATGATTGTGTCCATACCCTCTGCAATGAAAAGGAATGAGCATGCTGATTAAACTGGTGTACAAAAGCATTATGACTTCTCAGAAAGAATCACATTCGGCAGTTAGGTTCTAGAACTGATAACTTTATTGTGCTAGATAGAACATTCTCTGTAATTTAGCTGGATATGAAATTTGTCTTTAATGATGTTGATTTTCAGCTGTTACATAGCTGTGTTGCAGTGGTAAATGAGAGTTTCCCTATATACTTAAACAAAAATAAAACGTCAAATGGTTGTAAGAGAACTAATCACACAAATCTCTGTATAATTTCTACACAGTTGACATGCCTTTCACACATGAATATAGAATTCCTAGACTTACTATGTAACAGTGCTACTGCTTGCATGTTTAAAAAAGCACTCCGGAATTTTCAGAACAATAAACAAAACTTGACCCTTTTAGAACATTTTTAAACAGCAATTAATGCAGTATCATAAAACTTCTGACACCACTTTCATACATTACTATAACTGATATGATAGGCATAGACAGTTTTTCATCAAGGTTTGTGACAAAGACAAAGCTCATATATGGGGTTTATTACTACGGCACAATTTGGCTCTCCTGCTTGGCCTTCTCCTGCAGCATGTTTTTTTTTTCAGGAGTTGATACAGCAAACTATTCTCTCTGCTAACAAGTTACATTTAATAAAACCCCAGTAGTCTTGGTTTGAAGCACTAGGATGTATTACTGAATGTTACATGCCTTTTTGATGTAAGAAGTTATTCTATTGGAGGTGGACCAAATGCTGCAATAAATCCATAAGCCTACTTGAAGAACTCCCATGATTTATTCCATATAACAGAAGTAAGGTTCCAGCTTCTCAAGGGACTGTCTTGTTTGTTACTTAAATAAAATCAATCCAGAAAAAGCACAAGATTTAAACCTAATAAGCATTCTTCTTGAGCAACCTGAAGATAAGACAGATACACATACTGCACACAAATTCTGGATTTGTTGTTTTCTGGCAGTTCTGTGTTCCAACAAAAGCACCTGTATTACAGCAATTCACAGAGCAAGAGGTGAGATAGTGGAAGAGTTGCACTTGCTGTCTCAGTTGTATTGGTCTGCCTGGCCTGCTAGTTATGCCACAAGTGCTTCCTTCCCTTCTACAGTCTCTGCAAATGCAATATCCCTGATGTTTAAAAATAAAGCCACCTCTGAAAAAAAATTACAGTTAACTGTGAACAACCTAAACTAAATTGAACTGCGTAAAAACAATTATATCAAGATAAAATTTATGTTTATTTACTATTGTTGAACTACTTTGTCAAGGAGGTTGCTTAGAATCTGAGATAGGAGAGGTCTAAGCCACAAGTATTATCCATTTCTCTTGAAGAGATAACCCAGGGTTCTCTACAAAGCAATTACCAAGCATTCAGTTGTTTTTCTTAAAGAAAACATAAATGCAAGTTAAAAGACACACCTTTATCACCTTTTCTGATCTGTGATGGAAGGGAACATGTCTAAGCACCCTCTAGAGCACAAATTGGAAGGTGCAATCTTTCATTTACCAAGTTCCTAAGAAAACATGATGCCTCATTTTCTAGTTACCATACTTGAGGTGAAATGGAAGCCAGAAAGGAATATTACTTCCTACAATGGTTCTGACATTCCCTGGATGTCACAACTGAAATCAGTTGCAAAACATCTGTTAAGTTACCAACAGCCACAGGGAGAAAGACAGAAGGAATCTAAAGATGCCAATCTGATAGCTCCAAAGACTCTTTCATACGTACCCTGAAGCAACCATCTTTGGCAAGGCCAGATAGATCCACAAACCAGGATCCCGCTCTGCCTCCTGAAAGCCACTCAACTTTAAGCCCTTCTCAAGCTATGGCAATGGCCCCCATATCCTCAGAAGACCTTGTTATAGAACAACTGCAATTGGAAAACCTGTATCCAACTTACTCTCCAGCCACACCCCATACAGGTGCCAGATAAGGTGCTCTAGATTTTAAAGACTGCCTTTTATTCATGTAAATTCCTCAGAACCTAACTACCTCGGTAATAAGGTGTCTCATCTCTGGGTAAATATCAGGCATTGACTTTGCTTCCAGCACAGCTCTCAAGTGTAGGCTGCTTTGTCTCTACCTAATTTTCAGCACAGCTGCTACTGTGATCAAGAACACTCCACCTTCTCTTTATAAGCCAATGAATGTATTAGTAAAAGAGATGGTCTAATACTTTCTACTGAAGCTCTCATCTCTACAACTTGCAAAAGGCTCCCTTAAAAGGCAGAGGAAATTATTTCAGACACCTGAAAAGCATAAATCTAGCTAAACTTTAAATTTTGACTCTTACTACTCATTCTTGTCTTTCTGAAGCCTCACCAAAAAAGCATAAAAGTTTTTGCTTCCCCCCACCATCCACCAAAAGTCATTCTGTTCGAGAATTCTGCAAATCTAAAGAGTTAAAAACTACCCAGGCACTCCCTAAAAAACTTGGAAGTTTCCATCTACAGGCCATTCCCCACTCAATTAAGAGGCTGTTTTGGTAAGGCAAAGATTTATTTATCAATGTTCATGAATTATGTCAGACCAACTGATAAGGTATTTACACAACAGCTGAAATACACAGTATGTGCATTTCATACAAGTAACTACATGCAGCCAGTAGTAAGTTTTCCATGCAGCATCCAGATACTCCCACTGCCACATAATGCCAGTTAAAAATACCAACATCTGTAACACTTCCACAAGAGTTTCTATACCTGAGAAGGTTTAGTATATCCTTTTAAGAGGAAGTCTGCAATTAAAAGCCACATACATAAGCCTATTTAAAGGCTGTCATTCCAGTTGCAAATGGTTTGCTTCCTTTGAAGCAAGATCTGATCTATTCTCCCCTAAGCCAGACGATACATGTGACAGCCCTTCCTTATCTCCACAGTTATGCTCTTCATTTTTTTGTCTGAATTCCTCCAGAGTCAGATTCTCCAGTGTCTCAAGATTCTCAGGTCCTTGCCCAGTTAGCCTCTACAAAAAAACAGAGGGCAGTGAACTTAATACTTTTTCTACTTAATAACCAGTGAAATAAGACTCTGCATACTGAAGTAAGCAAGCTAATCACTTTCATTTGGAGGTTGTTGATATAATTAAAAACACTCATCACTTACAAAAATCTTAATACAAGTTCAACTCAAATTACTACCTCTAACTTGCAGACCACATTTGCTTTGTTGACTGTTAAGTTTTTCTTAGGTTCTTCAGTAGGATGGGTTACCTTAGGCAACCTAAATTATGGGAAGCTGCTTCCCAAGTTAAATATTTACTATAGTACCATATAGGTTTAATTTCAGAAAAAATTACTGTACAACCAATTAACTCCATAATTTTTAATCAGGGATAATGAAGCTACATTAAGTCTACACAAACTATAAGATTCAGCAGTTTGTAGCACTTCAAACTAAAAGTTCCTCACCCAACCTGATCTAAGGAAGATAAACTGGACTGTTACAGGCTGGTTTTGAAGCTCAGAAGTGAACTTAGCTGTTGAAGAACTGTACAGAAGTTTCTAATTACATTAGTTCAAGTCTTCAAGTAATGTAATTTCAGCCCATAGGTTTATCACAAGCAGTACTCCCTGAATAGAAAAAAAATTCAAGTGTAGCAAATCAGCAGAGTCTTTCAAGGCTGATCTAAATAATTGCATTAACTGAAAATTAATTTGATGAAGTTTACTTCTTGATTAATCAAGTTGCTTTCAATAATACTTCATTTTGTTTCAATCTCCCCAGTCTAGTCATCACAGAATCAAAATATTTGCCTAGGTTTACATCCCAGTTGAGAGCTGCAACCCTGTAAAAATAAGCTAGCTGATAGCCACGAACCTTGATGTTCAAGCTATCTGTATATTTATTACAGCTTCAGAGGCTGTTACAGAGAATCCATTCCTGATAGAGGAGCCATGGAATTAGTGACACAACTACCTACCCCCAAGGAATTCTCAGAGGGAACTCGAGATTTACAAGTTTAGGAACCTTACAGACTTTATGCATAGCCTTTTTTGGGCCACAAAACTGGCAATGCCTCAGTGAAACCTTGACTTTAAAGACCATAGTGCTCCTTTCTCCCTCTCACTGCTCTACTGTTTCAAGTTTAGTTCCTTAAAGGATACAGCACATACAGGCACTTAATTTAGCCAGCAGTCTCACACAACCTACTAAGTATATTTTATATATAGATAAGCATATTTAAGTCATCTCAAAAAAGTGCAGATGAACCCTTCCTTCCCTTGTCACCATCTCCAATATGCAAATCCTGTTAAAAGTAGGTTGAATCCCCCCTTCAGAAAGCATCAGTCTTAGTACTTTGCCATTACTCCTGTAGGTTCTAAAGCGGGAAAAACTCATCCCCTAGAAGGAGCTTTATGGCTCTAGAATTAGAGCAATCCTGCAAGAAACAGGTCAGGCAGCAATTTAAAATGAAGAGTCACATGAGGACACAGAACAGAAGTCATGATTCATTATAAAAACCTTTGTTGGTTTTTCACTTTTTCATTCTACAACATTAACTGAAAATTGCTTTAAGTACCTCAATCACACTGGTCATGTAATGAACATGTTCAGCGAGGGACATGAGTTCTTCATTTTCTTCTTTTAGGCGGGCAATTTCACCATCCTTCTGTTCGATTTCTTTGTGCAACTGGTTCAAATAACAAAATGTTAGAAGAGGAAGACAATAGCCAGTAGTGAAATAGTTATTTTTCAGAAGCTACCTTTTCATTTTCTTGAAGCACTTCATACAGAGCCTTCCTCCTTTCTTCAGCCACTTCTTTCCAATACTGAGGTGAAGGACTTCCTGAATTAAGAGGCTACAGTAAGTCTGTGCTAAGACTGAATTCTTGAGAACACCTGACAATATCTAACATATACAAGTATCCTATGAGCTGTGATACTAAGAACTCACTCCATATAGCATTTTCAGATCTTAGCTGTAAAACTACAACTAATTACATAACCTTACAGGAAACAGATGCTACACTGCACTAATGGCTATACAGACAGCGCCTTCACAAAGCTGCCTCAAGCATGGCAGCAGGCTCTGCAAGATTTGCAAATGTTGGTCTTACTGTGTACTTTGTGGGAGACAAAAGTCTTATTCCCAAGTCGCTGTCCATGCTGGGCATAATGGCTCTGAGAAACTGCACACACAGCACACTGTGCCAGAACAGGCCTTCATTTCAACTTAATTATTAGTCACTTGAAAACTTATAGCCCAGCCAAGGTAACAAACTACAAGACTTCTTAATACTGCTGCACACAATGGTTCTCAGCTACTGGTTGCCATAAACTCAAATATTAGATATCTATACTTCATTTATTATACTACAGAGGATAAGTATCATCAATTCCTGCTAGGCATTACAAAAAGCCACAAAGCCCTTATCTAAATGACAAAGAAACTGTTTCAAATTGTACTCCAACAGCAGCATAGCACTTAAAGTGCAAGAAAACGTTCCAGAAGTTACTACATACCTTTCATCATGAGATCTACAGCTTGAATGACACCGTCCTCATTTTCTTGCTCCTTGTCCACAGACACCTCAGCATTACAAGCCTTTGAGGTAAACTTGTTATTCCAGAGTTTCCTTTTGACCGAAGATTTCTTCTGTATAAAACACAGGCAAGTTTAGCTTCAGAGCAACATTTCAGCTTTTATGGAAATACAAACTTCTAAGTCTGCTCAATCATGACTGCAAATAAGTCTCTACAAGTCCTGCTTTCTTCACATTATAGGTCTAGTTTACCAACATGTTCCTTGATATCGATAGATTTAACAAAATAAATGTCTCAGAAATTTTCCCAAAGTACTGGGAAGTTGCTAGTTTTTAATATAATTTATTACTAAAATAATAGAAAGCTTAAGCTGTGCCACGCTAGTTAGCAGATTACATGTTTTCAGATATTTTTCAGCAAAAAGCTCAAAAGCGTTTCACTATGCATTAAAATAATTACACATCTACAGATTATCTTTTAGTTCATACCTCATTATATCTGCCAACCAGGCTACCTGCTGCTGAAGGCTGAATCATTTTAAGAGTCCGTCTTGGGGAAGCAAGGCATGTGGTATCTGTGAGGTACTTCTAAAAAGACAAATATGGTTCAGACAGTTGCCATTCCTCTTTACATAAACTGAAAATTAGGAATTACTCATGCTTCCATTATGATAACCCATGGGTATTCTTTTCAAGACAAAGATATGACACTGGTCTATATTAACGCTTTTGTAAATAACGGAATCTAGTTATTCGTAGCAGAGAGAGATCTTAATCTCATGAAGCAATGTTCAGTCCCTGCCTCTTAGAAAACACCCTTCATAACAGAACTTGAACAGGTCTTACAGCAGAAATATTCTGACTATATTTGAAGGCCAGTTACAGTGTTGAACTTCAGCTAAAACTCTGAAACTTGCATTTGAGAGCAGCAGCATTAGACTTTTGGGGACAGAGACAAAAGTGACTGCAATTGCATGTTTAGGTGGTAAAGTTACACACATCACTTCAGGCAGTAGCTGATTTTTGTCCCCCGAGAACACACCATCAAGTGGTGCTCACTTAAATAGCTGTGTTACTTTGATAATCCATTAAAATGCATCAAAAGTTTCCCTGCTTCGATCCAGACAGACTATTGTTTTGTCTAAACAGTATGATTATCACCTCTCCTATCATGCATAAGTACCTCTTTCCTGCATTAAGGCTTTCTGATTGGGTTGGTTACACTGCCACCATGGGATAGCAAACAATGGCAGACAACCAAGCAAGAATAGCCAGAACACAATGCCACACCAGCGTGAGAAAGTTACGATTCACACCGTACTTCGTATGACACAAGTTCGACTTTCCCACGGTAGTTTCTGCCACCAATTATCCTACTGTTCAACTCAAGGACAAACATTAACTGCTGTGGGAACAAGAATCACACTGCGTGTCAGACACCGCTCACTGCTATTGAAGGTTAGTTAAGTACACTCTGCCAAGAAGTTATTGACCAATACCGGAGTTAACCCATTGAAAGAGCAAAAAGCCACATCAAAGAATTTATACAGTAGAGACACTATGGGATAAGACTGCTGCATGTGTAAGTCAGAGTTATCAATTGGCAAGTTTCATTAATACCAGAGGTTTTCATTGCAATCAATATGCCTCCTGACATGAGGACTACTAGCCTCTATTACACAGTGTATTTGTACAATTCTGATTAGAGCCTACATTTAAAGGTTTACACAAGAATAGGTACAAACTTTAGTAACTTATCACTCAACCCTCAAAAACCTCAATCTTGTAAGCATTTCCACCAATTCCAAGGTAACTACGATTCAGGAGGGTGACTTTAGAAACCAATCTGCCTGCTTGAATACTTCAGCTAAAGCATGCTCAAGTCAAGAGAAATTTAACTCTTCGTGAGTTCATCCCTATAAAGGACAGACTACAGAACCTACTCTACAACCCCTCAGCAGCCAGACAGATTCAGTAGGCAAAGGCACATAGCCAGCACCAAATAAACACTGGAAAAATCACATGGAGAGACAGTAAGCTCAGTGTCAAAGTAAAAAGGACTTGCTGAGCAAGTCCAAGAAGGACAGCATGTTCCCAAGCCACACAGACGGCCAGGAGGATACTCAAGCCAACTAGACGTAAGTCAGGTGGAAGCACATTGCAACAGATTCCTTTGTATTACTTCGGTGGATATAAAGCTTGCAGCAGGTACTAGCTTCAAGGCCTTAAAGCCCATACCTGCAGAGATCCTGACGATTTTTCTGCAGTCAGTTTCTGTTTCATTTTGGAATGCATAGGATCAACTGCGAAACAACAATAAAAAGGTAAAAAAAATAATATAACATCTGGCTGCAACCGAAGTTCGGGAGACACTAGCTACAGAACATTACAATTTCGGTTTATCAGCTTTTATGGCAGCATTAAGTAGTCAGTCGTGGTGACGAGGCTGTTCCACAGCCTCTGGAGCCTCTCCTGGAGTTCCTGACCGAGATACGAGCTGGGAAGGCAGCGCCCCGCGTTGCTGTTACCGGCGCTGCCACAAGACCCCTCACGGACGGGCCTTCCCGCAGGGTTGGCGGGGGCAGGCCCAGCCGCACACTCAAAACGACTGGGAGGGGAGACACGGGGGACACACGCGACACCCCTCCCCCCCCATCCCGTCCCGTTCCCGCCAGGGGGGCGCGCACCGCCCCTCCCTCCGCGCGCGCCGCCGCGGCCAATGGGAACAGCCAGGCAGGAGCGCGCCAACACCCAAATGCGGCCGTGAAAGCCCGAGCGCCCGTTCCCCCGCCCCCACCCCCTCCGCGGCTCAAGCAAGACGGAGAGCCCCGTCCCTCCCACTCGTCTCCCGATCCCAGCGCCCACCACCACCACCGCCGTTTCCCTCTGTCCGTCCCGCTTACCGGCGGCCGCTCCCACACGGATGCCCCAGCGCGCGCTCCTACTACTAGCACTCTTCGCGCGCCCGGCCCTCCCCTATAAGGAGCGCGGCGGTCACGTGAGCCGTCGATCGCTTTCCGAGCCAATCACGGACCACAGCTCCCCCCGCTCCGCCGGCGGAGCCCCGCCCCGCGGGCCGCGGCTGGGGCTGAGGGCGGTGAAAGTCGTGAGGGAGGGTGCTGAGCAGTTCGTGGTCTTTTGGATTTTGGTTGGGTTGTTTTCTCTTTGTTTGTTTTTTTAATAAAGAAGTTGTACCACAACAAATTTAACCACCTCTCCGCTTTATTGTCATCACAATCTAAACACAGCACAACCTGCAAAACCGGGGAAGAAAATTTAAGAGTGTTAAGCCACCATATATACACAGTAATAATTTTATACATGATACAGGCTACAGCTCTTATTAATTATGCCTGAGGTATGCCGTTAACTTTGTTAGAGGCCACTTGACACTTATGTTCCTGCAAGTATTTGCACATTTATCTTTTATTTATGTTAATAGTATCTTTTGCTAACTCCTGAGTAAACATTTGTAGAGTTAAGGACCTTCCTTGTGATCAAGGTCTCGTGGAGCAGCTATCAACATTTTTCCCAAGCCATATGATGGAGCTATTAGAAATTAGGATAATTACAGAGGGAAATTCCGTATTTCAAAACACTAGCAGATATGGCAAACTCTATCTAAATATATGCATAAAATCTTACCAGCATTAAATCTCCTTTCAGAAAAATCTGGATACAGGTAATGTGTACATAAACACAACATAAAAACGTTCCTGTTTTTAAATTTTATGTATTTTTATACAGAAATATAAAAATGCAATAAAAACATCATATGAAACTTTTAAATTAGATGCAAGCATAGATTTGTATGCACTGTGTGTATTTTATGGCTGTGATACAACTTTTGTAAATACTATGTTTTCAAGTGAAACTTTCTCAAATAATACCTTTTCAAAATTTAGATTTAATTCACAGAAAGTTTTTCAATGGATTTACAGTTCAGAAATGGAATAACTGTTTTTAGAAATGTTGGTAATTGGAGAGGGACAAGGTAATGGGAGATGGTTCTGATGTGACAGTTCTGATTGTTCTTCCTTTAAATTTGTTCCTTGCTGGAGGCATACAGTCTGGAGTTTTATTACAAAGCTGTCACTCCTTCAATTTATCCATCTGAAGAACATGTCCTCTTACGAACCACTGTGTCTCTGAATTCAGTTTCTTCAGTTCAAAAGGGTTGTAAAGAACCCTGTCACCATCTCAGAAAGAACACTGAGAGTTTATTATTAGCAGCCTATTCATAGTCTTAATTGTGGGAAACCAGTATAATTATATAAAAATCTCACAAAAAAAAAGTTACTTTATTGTAATAATTCCCATTTTGGTGGCCCAAGGTTAAATTAAAATAGGGATTAGGGCATTTTTACATGCAAAAATCTGTCAGCCCAATGCTAGCAGAATATATTCTTCTTCAGATTGAGTGCAATATAATGCATTTTAGCTTGTTTGTTTCATAAAAAATAAAACTCTCTATCGTGAATGCTTATGACTATTTGCACTTCAAGTGAGCCTAAGCAAACACCCCGAGGTTTCCCACAGAGCTCAGCCAATTTGTTAGATTATTCATGATAGCAGAGAATGTGTACTTTTTAAAGCTTTTATACTCCATTGGTACTGATAAATGTTATCAGTTTTTATAGCAAATGACAACTGGAAAAAAAAGCTTCTTGGATGACTTCACATGCCTGGGAACATAGGAATAGGTGGGAAGGCATTATCTGGTCTCCAAGTCCTGTCTTGCTTAGATGCCAGTGTGTGGAAACTTCCTAAGCATTGCACAGAGAGAGTCTGGACTTGGCTATGTGAATTATGTGCTGACAAAACTGTATTTCTTCTTGACAGTCACACTGTGACTTTTGCCAAGGCCTTTATTGTACTCTGCAGATAATGATCTCTCTCTGGGGTGCTTAAGGACTCTTTATTTCTACCTTCTACATTAAGGACAGGTAAACGACATCGTAATTTTTTTTTGTGTGTATGTTAAATTATTACATAAATATCATAAGTGCCTTCCTATTTATTAGTATTTAGTGTAAGCAACGACTATAACTGTTTGAGATGCAGAAAACCACCATGGAGAGGGCCAGGAGAGCCAGTGCAGTGCTGAGCCTCTGACACAGATGAATGTCTCTTCTCAGTCCTGCTCCGGGTGCCAGCCCTGCAACAAGGTCCGGGGAATATCCGAAGATGGCTTTGGGCTCTCTGAATCAATAAAAAAGACCTGTGGCTCTCACTGTCCCTCGCTGCTGTTTCTCTTGGCCCTTCTGTCCAATATTTATTTAAGGGAGGAAAGGGCTCCCAGCTATCCACCAGGTGACAGTAGATGGCAGCGTGGCATCATGCTTCCCCTCCCTCAGCCTCTTATTTCTGGGGTGTTTCATCATATAGAAGAGTGTTTCGTGTGTTACCGACAAGAAATTAAAGATTTGCCTTCTTTTCCCTAGGTTAATCAGTACGGATGGCTGCATGCTAATGAAACTCTGCATAAAGGAATATATATACAGCATTATATACACAGCACAATCTAGGTATAATTCATAATGCAAGCCCATTTTCAATGAGGGCGTGCTATTAATTAAATATCTCCAGAGAGTACACAATTTTCTTGTATTAGAATGAAAGATTGTCCTGTGAATACTGATCCTTAATGCTCTGGAGGTGAAAGGTTAAAAGAAATATCTACATCTCACCTAGTGATTTTTTTCCCTAGTTAATAACCTTGTGAGTTACTAAGACATCCCTTAAACACTCTCAGGTCCTAACCTTCTTAGCAATGGATTTACCTTGAAAAAACTATCATTTATGTAGTGCTTTAAGATTTAAAAATTAAACATTCTCTATAAAGGCTAGGATTTAATAATCTACAACTACTTCCAAATCTGTTGACTAAAAGTAAATAGCATATTATTTACAGACTGAGCAAATAAAACAAGTTGTTTCAAATTTTACCCTTACTCTTGCAAGCATCTGCTGACAAACACAAAACCTACTTCAGAACATCACTATTTTTGTTTTTTATAGAACAAACCAGTCTAAAAAAGACAAATACATTTGCTCATCACTAACTGAGAACATAAGTTAAAGATGACACAGCACAGTGAAAAGAGCTGATAGACTTTCAGATACCAAAATACTTTGTGCAATGGAAGTTGAATCGCAGGTTTATGTACAAAGCACAGGCAGGGATCCTTGTTTCTAATGTATATTTCAGACATTTTTAAAATAAATGCAAAGTTTTAGAGACAGGACATGCATTTGTTACACAAAACAAATGGCCCAGGTATTAAAGAAATTATAACTACCATACCCAAAAGTGGCAATTGATTTGATATCCTGTTTGTGGAAGTTATCATCTCAGCAAAGGCACTGAGAACCTTTAGTTACTTTTAGTTATACTCCTAAATGTCAAGAAAGCACAAGCTGGACAACCAGAAAATGAGAACACAGATAGTCAAGCATATTTAAGTGTGTATGTATATACATACACAGACACATAATTATTAAGATGTAACAAATCCAGCAAGACAGTAGGTAAACTTTAACCAAAGTTTAGGATCAATACCGCACGTGTCCAAGAACGCGTGTCCCATTTCATGAGCACAGCACTCCACAACTATAAGGTGGGACATAGGGAAGTGATGAATGAAGCTTAATATTCACTGCAACAGCTGTCCAGTGGTGTGCTAGTTTTGGCTGGGATAGAGATAATTTTCTTCTATCCATCGCTGTCCATCACAACAGTTGGTGGACAGTGGTGGACAACCCAAACCATTCTCTGGTTCTGTGATTCTCATTGGATATATAGTTGTTCAGAACATGATGTAAGGAATGTTGTACGCATTAAACACTGACATTTCTTTACACAAAAGCATTCCTGTTATGCCTTAGAAACGAATGTTTTCTCTGAAGGCAGAAAAGAGTTAGTTATTATATTCTAAAGTATATGAAAGTGTTTTAATTACCACCTAATTTGTCTTGTTTAAATTTACAAAGAATACTAATTTATTTTTGTCTGATGCATAAATATTTGGCACTGAATTAATCAGAGTACTGTTTTTGAAGCAAGTAGCTTCAGGGCTGTTACTCCTTATAACATATACAGCCAGTACAATATGCGTGGAAAGTATAAACAGAAAGATAACAGAATCCATCTCATCTCTTCCTACCTCTGTCTGTAACATCCATACCAATTTGCTACAATCTGTTACTAACTAATTATTAACTAGAAATCATTAATCTTCAAGTAACTAATTATTAAGCCAGAAATTAAGAGCAGAGGCATTAGAGTACAATCTTGCCTACATACTTATGAGTAAACATTTAATTCTGAAAACAGGAATTAGACTCTGAATTACAAACATTAAAAAAAAAAACAAACCAAAAAGATGTTTCTATAAAGTTACCGATCCTTTTTAATTTAGAGAAAAAAAGCCACACGCTATTATGTAACTGAGTATTTTATTACACTGAAAACAGCAAGAAAATGATAAAATGGTGACTAGAAAATGCAAGTTTTTCAGAGCAGAAAAGGAAAAAATATACCAGCAATGACGTATTCTAAACTTGCAGTGCTTCTCAAAACATGACTCACTTTCTATCCCAAGGAATGTATTTTTGTGACAAGGTCTTTCCTACCTTCACATGGGGTGCTGCCCATGCTGCTTGATTCTGTATTTCTCCAGGATGACAGCTGGAGAGTATCCCCCCCCATTGCTGAGACCCAAGTCCCTAGAGGTCTGTGTGCATCTGACTCCTCAAAGACTACAGGACTGCAGCTACCTGGTATGGTACCGTCCTCACTCTGGGGGAAAGCCTCAAGGACACCAGCTGATTTGTCTGTGCTGTGCTAACCAAGCAGAAGCTGACCCGCTCTACTGACTGTTTTGCTCAGTCTGGATTTAACATGCACAAGAAACACTATTTTTGCTGTGCTAATGGGATTGAAGCCTAAAAAAAGAGAACTATTACATATTTTGCATCTACTGCCACAACCTACTTGTCAGGTTTGTTTTGTATACCATGCACATTCCTCTCTTCTTAGCGATAGATCTTATATTATTTTAAATTAGATTTGAAGAGAGGCAGTCTGTCATTAGATAAAGTGTTATAATTGCAAAATACACACCAGCTTTCAGCCCCACAAGCTTGTCTTACAAATGCTACAACATTGCATAACCAGTAAGAAGCATAACAATAATATACAATTATCTAGTCAAGAGAATTATGGATCAATAGCATATAAATATTTATTTTGCTAAGCCTTAACTCTCCATTCAGTACAAGATGTTACTTAATATGTTTAAATAAGATGATGATATTTTTCTATCATACGAGCTCCATCATTGTGCGTGATGGAGGAAAAGAAACACAGCTATATAAAAGTAGGACAAGACTCAGCTATTACTCATTGCTTTAATGGCAAATATTTCTGCATGTATATGTATAATAAACATACTTGGGTTGGTTGAAGTACTCATTTGTGTAAACATTGTCAGGATACCTTTAACAGTCTATGAGCCAAAAAAAAATCTTTAGTGAGCTTGGTAAGAGAGGTAGTTGACTATATAAGGAGGAGAAGCAATCTTTACAGAAGGAACCTACAGTGATTTCTGCTCCTCATCCCCTTCTGAAAGGTTGTGGAAGGATTTGAGCAGCCTGAATTTGCAGAAGACAGCTGGTGGCTGCTTAACACGTAATACTTTGTACTTGATCTCCTGTTTCCTCTACATATATATATATGTATATATATATATATATATATTCTAAGTATATATATTCCTCTCCTCATAGCACTTCTAGAAAGTCCTCCAGAAGAAAAACTATTCTCCTGCCAGCACTACATTTGACAAAATTTTTTGGATGCATTCTTCAACCTGGGGCTGGGCAGCTGCCCGATCCCTTGTGACTGCATCCCTGCACTCAAAAGGGCAGCTGGAGTTACTGGGCTGGAAGAAAACTCCTTCCTTTCTCCTCCGCAGGCAGGCAAGGTGCCAGTTCCCTCTGAGGGCTTTCTGTGCTGGGGCAATCCCCACGTCAAGCAGCGCTGCTGTGCCGAGCCTTCTTTGCATCCGCTGTGCCGGCACAAAGAGGGTCACAGGCCAAGTGTGAGTCATGGCTTAAAATAGCAGTGGGCATAAGACTGCAGCACAAAATGTCGTACAGGGCAGCATGGAAAACAAAACTGGAAAAAGCTGACTGGAAAAGCAGTTATCTAAACGCAGCTCCTGTTAAGGACAGACTGATGTTATAGTTAAAAAACTCTGGCATTTTGAAATAGCCCAAACAGTGCAGAGCTAATGTAATCCTCCTATTTAGCTGCCCTGCTTTTTTACCCCCAAATAAAGGATTATTTTCAATAAGCATTGCCATTAGGAGTGAAAAGCAATCTGTAAGTAGGTAAAAATGATCTGTTTCTACTCTGTTCTTGTTCAAACAACAGAGGAATGTTGTGGGCAATGCCCGTGTCAGGGAAGACAAGATAGAATGTTCACATCAGAGGGCCTGACTAATGCCAGGGGAAAGACAATAAGGTCCAAGGACTGAAACACAGCTGCTACCTACAAGACGGGCAAGAGAAAGGTGTCCCAGGGGAAGCGTGTAAAGGAAAGGTGTGCTATAGGGAAATAACTAATAAGAAGGTCAGGAGAGAACAAGGGGAACCAGCAGAGACAAGTAAGAGCAGAGACTGAGGGAACAAAGACTGAAATCTGTTGGAGATACTGAAGAGTGCCATCGCCAATGCTGCATGGGCTTTGAAACACAATCAAATGAGAGAGAACAATGCCTGCACTTGTCTTCTGCCTGTAATCTTTGTAATATCGTTGCTGTTCCAGTGACTCACAGGCACCAGCTTCCAGGGAAAGGTGGGGGAGATGCCTTCACCCACCCTGGCAGCCTGTACCTCATTGTAGCAAGTCACCACCCCTTTGGCTCCCCAGCACCTCCAGTCTGGGTAATGTTGGACAGCGAGGCTTTCCCTGGCACGCCTGAAGGAAGGCATGAAGGGTGGGCCAGCAGGCACTCAGGCCCAGTGCTGAGATGGCAGTTCTCCCTACTTGCCCTGGGCCTTCCGACAGGGAGAACATAGGTCACAGCAATTTTTGTCCCTGCTTCGTTTCCATGGCTTCCATTCCAGGCTGTCCTTGTAGTGAAGAAATAAAAATGCTTAATTCTCTCAAAGGATTGGGTCTATGGAAGAGCAATTACTTATTTATTAACCCTAGCCAGCTTCCTTGGGAAGTGCTACATCCACCACAGAGAAACATGGACCATCACACAAGGGCTGAGCTGTGCGTGGGCAAGATCAGTGCTGGGGATGAGCCCATTGCCATTTCAGTTTCGAATACTCCAGCTTCGTTGGACTTTTATTTTTGTTTTATTTACAGTTTTACTTTGCATGCGTGCGACGGATTAAATGACACAAGAGGTGCCACTAGAAGACTTATTTACCCATAATATCACCACGCTTAAGGCTGAAACAAGTTTAGGTATTCCCTTAAGGTGACGGAATCTGGGACAGGGTGATGGAATTTCGGGAACAGTCATTTGTCGGAGACGAAGGAAGAGAAGCTGCCCCAAGCCGATACCACCTCGGGGCGGGGGGGAAGAGGGCGACGTTTCTTCCCTCCCTCTTTGCCTCCCTGCCCTGCCCTCCCCCTCCGAGAACGCCGTTGAGCAGCCCCATCCGGGTACTTGTCCCGCGGGCAGTTACACGAGGCGCTACGGGGGGCGGAAGGGAAGAGCGTGGAAGCACGACCCAGATTCCTGGCGTGGTGACGGCTCGGAGACGCTCAAAGCCGCTGTTGTACTCTCCTCTCTACCTCTTCCGACAAGGCTTGTCGATTGCTACGGAGGCTGAACCCTCCTGCGGGGAGCACAAGATCGCGCCCCCCCCGGAGACACAGGCGCTTGGTACGCGCCGACAGAGCGGTCAGGGCGGTGCCTGTGTGACTAAGGCGCTGCCATTTTGAGGGGTCGGTGGTGGCCGCGCAGCTTCGCTTAGCGCTCGCTCTCTGCCGAGGCGCAGGCGCTCCCGCAGCTTCCCGTCCGTTCCTGCCGTCGCCTCCGAGGACGCCTGGGCGAAGAGCTGCCTTCCTCAGCCCTTCCATCCTCCTCTCGGCCGTACCCGTACTCCTCCACCGCCGCTCCGGGATTTCTATGCCCGCCGCCCTCCTCCGTAGGACCCGCTAGCGCAGGGACCGCGTCCTCCTCCTCGTTCCGCCGCCGCCTTCGCCTCTTCCTCCTCCTCCTCTTCCGCTCTCCGCCACCATTTCCCCACTCCCCGGCCCCGGGGCGCTGAGCTAGACTATGGGGACCAGGTCGGGGCCGAGCGGCGGCAGAGCGGGCGGCCCGGTCACCGTGTCCCCTGCGGCAGGGATGGGGGGGGCTCCGCGGCTTCGTGGCTTTATCTTGACATGGCTCCTCTCCGTGCTGCCAGCAGCGCCGCCGCCTCCTCCTCCTCCACTGCTCCTCCTGCGCCCGCCGGCTGCGGGTAGAGAGCGGCCACGGCCCCGGGCTCTCGTCGGAGCCTCTCAGTCTCTTGCTTAACTGGGGGGGGGGAAGTTTCGGGAGGGGTTTCTTTTGTTTTGTTTTTGTTTTCCTTTCTTTCTTTTCCTTTCTCTCCAGACAGAGAAGGGAGGGGAATACTTTTTTCCCCCTCCTCTTCTTAACCTGATCTGACGAATTTGCTAACCTAAAAACTTTTTAACCCCAACTAATCAAACACCTGTGGTGGGGGAAAAAAATGTCTGGAGAGAGGAAGAAAATAACCTGATAATTGGGGATTTGCTTTTTTTTTTTTTTTTTTAAGAGGGGGGAGGATATTTTAGAGGTTTAAAATTGCAACGCAGATTTGCAATTGAACAAACCTCGGAAAAAATTTTACACTGAAAAGCAGGAGCAAAAAAACACTCCATGTTTTCCGAGTCGTGGCCATGAAGTGAGAGGGGAGAGACGCGGTGCTGCTGTGGGTATCCCGCCGCCCCGGGCGCTCTCGCCCTGTTTGCAGAGAGGGGCCGAAGGGAAAGCCAAGAGCGCCGGCCATGCACAGCCTCGGCTGACTGTGCTCGCAGCAGCAGAGAGAGAGAGAAGGATCCCCGGGGGATCAGCAGCCCAGGGAGTGTATGAGGTGTCGGGGGATGTAGGGCTCTCCCAGTGTTAGGGAGCCCGGGTTTGGGGCACCTATTCGGGTTTTAGTCTCTAGGTGAGATAATACTGTCCTTTGAACCCCTATCCGCCCCTTGTCAATGGCTATCATGATCCCTCTCCTCTTTGGCAGCAGTAGCCTCAGGGCAATGATGAGCAGGATGAAGTTAGAAATGACTCCGCTGTCTTTTCTCTTTGCTCCCCTGCGAACCAGCGCTGTGTTGTCTGTAGTTGATTTTGTTGTTGTTGGCAGAGAAATGTCATACTTCCCGGGTTGTGCACTCTTCCTTTGCACCCTTTTCTCTGCTCTCCACCAAGTGTAATAATTCTAAAGAAAAAGACGGGCAACATAGCAATAGTGGAAGGCTGAGAATAATAATCAGTAGAGTCATGAATCTGGCTGGGGTAAAACGCAATTTGTGATTTCAGCTTCGGGTTTTTTTTTGTAAGCAGAGCAAAAGTACCCCCCATGGATTGGGCTTGTGCCAGTTGCTTTTTATTGTTCACATAAGTTGTGATAAGATTTGTTTTGGGCTTGTTTTTTTTTTTTTTTTTGTTTTTTTTTTTTTTTATTCTTACCCCATTATTCCTGCGGCTAAACTGTTCAAATTTTTGTCTTTAAAATTCTTCGGGTTTTTTTCTTGATTTATTGTAAAACTTCTTGTCCAGCCATGGCTGGACAACTACTCACTTTGTTTCCTGACCCCTCCAATACGACATTTTCTTAAAATATTGCCTGAGGTGCGGTTTTGGGTTACATTAGCGTTTGATCTATTCAGTCGTATTAGCAGGAATCAAACGACTTGTTTCTGTTGTACTTGAGTCTTACGAAAAGGTGCCCATAGTTTAGCGACAGTTTCCAAAGGCTTTAGTACCACCTGTATTACAAAATGGGGGACCCAAACTCCCGGAAGAAACAAGCTCTGAACAGACTTCGTGCTCAGCTTAGAAAGAAAAAAGAATCTTTAGCTGACCAGTTTGACTTCAAGATGTACATTGCCTTTGTGTTCAAAGACAAGGTAACTTGGTTTTAATGTGTCTCTCTGTGTTGTCTGTTGCATGTTAAGCGTGCTGTGCAAAGTCTTGCTTTCTGATTGCATCAAATGTTTTATCCTGGATAGATTCCATTGACTTTTTAACATTAAATTTTTAATTGCTAATTGCTGTAATATTTACTTAGCTCGTGTTTGCCATTTTGCCTCTTTGTATGCTGTAGTTTTGTAACGCAGAGGGTGCCAGTGCATCATTACGTGGTTACTTGGTAACTTCTGTATTGGGTAGATATTTTTCAAAGTTAACACTGTAACTTGTTAACTCTAATTGGTCCCTAACTTTCACAATTGTTCGCTGAGGAGTTGAGTTGTGAAGGGAGACCTGGCTGGGGCGATTGCCGAGTTACTGCTTTTATCTGGTGAAAGCAGAAAGGAAGACCTGGCAGTTGAAGGGAGGAGTCGCAGAATGGGATGTGGAAATGGCCCAAGTGCGCACGCACATGTGAAATGCTGCTACCATTTTGAAAGGGAGCAGGGAGGGCACAGAGGAAATCTACGTTTGCTTGGCTGCCTCTACCGCTGTGCATCCAGGTGGGGAGCCGAGTGATATTTCTAAAGCCAGCTACAGACCTAAAATTGTAGGAGAGTTTCCATCCACAGACGGTGAAGAAAAGTAGGTGCTTCTAGGAAGTGAATGTGCTGAAAAAATGACGAGTAAGTGAAGATAAAAGCAACTGGCAACAGAGTACATAATACACAAACTGCACGTAGATGAGGACTGAAATTGTTTAATCCTCTCAAATGTATAGGTTTTTTTGCATTCACTGCAATAATAATGTATTTTTAATGAAGACTGTTTCCTGAAAAGCTTTGAAAATCTTTAAAATTCATGAGTTCAATTTGCTTTTCTTTGTCAGTCCTAGTACAAGCAGAGGTGGATATGTTTGGATATAATTTCTGGGTGCTGACTCATAGTAATACAGATACGAATGTTTAAGCCGTGCCAACAGATTTTCTTAGATGACACAAGTTTAACGCTTTTAGTTGAAGCATTCATACAACTGTTGGGTTGCTTTATAGAAATTTGTTGCAAGTTTCTTTCCTTATATCATAGTGAACTTGAAGACATCCATTCTATACCAGATTGCTTAAAGTAGGAGTTTAGCTCAGGTTAGCTTGGTCAGCAAATAGTTGCCTGCTGTGTATGTTCTGATGAGGGGGGAGTGGAGCATTATTTGGTAAAATATACTTTGTCTGTTATGTAGCTCTTAAATAGCTCAAGATTTCTCATGAGCTATTAGAAAGTTGTTAGAAACAGAAATACAACTTCAGGTGATTTTATGTACAGCAAAAACTTATTTCACATTCTCATAATGTTTTGGCCTTGCTTGAGAGATACTGCAATATTTATAGTGAGTACAAAAGTTACTTAGCAAATTAAAATAGACCTCCTTTGAGAGGATTGTAGTTTATAGTTAACTTCACATGGGCTCTCAATCACCTGCTATCACCAAATGTGGTATTGAAAGATTTACTTTTCATAATAGGCTAACTATAAAAAATTGAAAAGGGGGGAAAAAAAAGGTGTTGATTGGCAAAGAGAAGCTTGCAGAGGGCTCTTGGTCAGCCCAAAGCCATGTACTCTACTTGATAAAGCAGAAATTCTGTTAATGTTTAGATACAGCTTTAATGTTTGCAAGATTAGTATGCAAATCTTTGGAGACTACAAAAATGTGTTCAACTTTTATAAAAAGTTGTTAGTCTGATTCAGTTTCGTTTATAAATTTTTGCATGTAAATTTTAGTGTGGTTTGTGTCAAAGTGCTAACCTGTGTGATGTGGACTTTATACATTTATACAGAAAATCACAAATCCCAAAACAAAGTGTTACCTCTAGTTGCCTAGAAAGGATTGTAGTCTTTATGTTATCTGTGATTTTTTTAATTGTTTTTTTAGAAGAAAAAGTCAGCACTTTTTGAAGTGTCTGAAGTGATACCAGTCATGACCAATAATTATGAAGAAAATATCCTGAAAGGTGTGCGGGATTCCAGCTATTCTTTGGAAAGTTCCTTAGAGCTTCTGCAGAAGGATGTAGTACAGCTCCATGCACCCCGCTACCAGTCTATGCGCAGGGTAGGTCTTCTTTTTACACTTGCTGAATCTTAGTCTTTCAACACCTGTGCTTTTCTTTGTGAATCTTAAGGCTAATACTTCCTTTTTTTTATTTTCTCAACATATTGCAACATGTGTATGTTCTGTAGCCATGTGTTTATGGGGTCTAGTTTGAAGGGTAATAAGATCATATATGTTTTAAAAACTGATTAAATATATAGTGCTTAAGCTTTACCTTTCATTTGTCTCATTCAGAGGTTTGCCTTGGGAATTGTATCTTCTTGTCCTGTTTGTCCTTTAGTAGGCATGCGTTTATAATTCTTGCAGTGACTCCTGTTGTACAACTAAGTGGTTTTGCTTTATGAATATTGGAAGGTAGACAGTCTTTGCTAATGTTTTCTTAAATTTGTAATTTACTGGCTACTGATACTAAAATTCAGTGGAAGGCAAGGAAGACTTTAGTTGTGCTTTGAGTAATACAAATGGAAAATTACACAAACATTAATAATAAGTACCACCTCTAAATTATGTGCCTGTATATATAATTTGCTTATCTGTGTCTTTGATTAATGAAGGGAATATAAATACAGAACTTTACCATTCACAGGATGTGATCGGCTGTACCCAGGAGATGGACTTCATTCTATGGCCTCGCAATGATATTGAGAAGATAGTCTGTCTCCTGTTTTCTCGGTGGAAGGGATCTGATGAACCCTTTAGGCCTGTTCAGGTATTTGGTTTTGGTTTTTAGCTTCAATAAGTAACTCACTCCTGGAGGGGAGGATAAGTGCTCACCTTAACCAATAAGCTGATAAGGTATGTGACTTCTGTGGGTATTAGAAAGTATGCTATTTTTATTTATAAAGAAGTCAGTGTTTTGAATGCCAAATTCTGCCTCCTGTCTTTATGCACTGTTATATTAGTCCTTCCAAAATTTAAGCTTCCGAAGGACCTTTGCAAATGACATGTATGTAGAAATGCACACAGTGTGTTTGTATTTGTACAAGTGGATTAGCCTCTTAGTACAAATGAATCTTTGTGTAAATATGATGGTGTCATTAAGGTTCTGTGAACATCCCAAGTTGCTGTATTTGGTTGGATAAAAGAGGGTCTGAGA